GGCATCGTATACTTGTAGAGAGTTCATTTTGCCATGCCTTCTTTTTTATGGGCAATATAAAAACATTTATTGAAACACAATGTGTCCCCCAAACTAGGATAACACACCTGGATCTAGCATGATGATATATGTCCTATTTGCTCGGATGGGGCTGAATCTTTTTCCCATTGTTTCTTCACGTGCAGAATAGCTCGAGGAGTATGGGAGCTAGCCGGACATGGATCAATCCGCGCGCCAGTCAGTTAGCTACCTCCGAATAAAGCTTGGCACCATATTTTCTTTGACTCTTAGTTGTCAAAAGTGCAGGTTGCTGAAATTGTCTTCCTCGTTTGGCGCATGCATCTGGAAAGGAAGGTGTTGGTCTGTCTATGACCATATTCAGTTTTGACCCCCAACACTTCATCGGCAATTCATGGTACAAGTGGATGAGTGGAAGGAGGTTTTGGTCGAACACCAGAGAGATTCCACGGCAAAGAGACAGCCCCCGCTGCCACCTCCCCTCGTCTCCAATCCTCCAGGAGGCCTTCTACTATGATTTGATGGAGCTTTTAACAAAGATAGTGGCGACAACACAGGATTTGTGTGTTTTGCAGCAGGTTCGGCATTGGTATGCGCCTATGGCAAGTTTTATCCAGGTTTGAGCGACCCTTTTCTTGCTGAACTTCTTGCACTTCGTGATTCAATGTTATGGTGCATAAATAATGGATATTACAATGTTTGTTTTTGTGGTGACTCTCAACTGGTCATTCGCCGGGCTATGGAGAACGAGGTGCATCATGAGTCCGGAGGGTCAATTCTAGAGGAAATTCGCCTGTTGAAGTCAAGCTTTCTTTTCATTAAGATTGTTTATGCTTCTTGTAGAACTAACAGGGCTGCCATTTAGTGGCAAAAACAGCCCTTGCATTGGCAGCTCGGCATTCGGTCGACTGCCGTTATTTACTTTTCAACCCTTTGTAATCAACTGTCTATCTACAATCTATCTATGGCCAAAAAAAAACCAATCTGCAGAAAGCAGAGACAAAAAAAGCATTATACAAGTCTACCAAAGCCAAAATACTAGCTAATACAAGAACACTTTCCTGCAATTAGCATCCAAACTTTCATTTCATAACTGAGATAACTCAATAAGCCGCCGAATCATACAAATTATTTCCCCGTTCTAAGTTCTTTCCCTCCATAAACTCGACCACACCATTCTCGCCAAATCATGCTTACCACCATATTCCAAATAAGCCTACCAACCATGGCAAGATGCTTCCTTCCTTTAAACCGACGAACAACTCAATTCGGATAATCCACATATCTAGCAAGCCGAAGACACCTCATATAAATCATTTTCAAGCACCCCTTTAGAATAATGGAAGTATATGTGCACTGAAAATACAAATGGTCCATGTTTTCCTTTTCCAACAGAATAGAGCAAACACTTGTCATCCATGTTTTCCTTTCTGCCATGCCTTCTAGAGTTTGAGTTTCAAAAGAAAGCTTGTTGTTTTCTACTTCAAAAACTTGGTCGAAGAGAGCGTTAAAGCATAGAGCAGTAAGTTGCTTACTCTTAGAAGATCTCTTCTTACGGAGAGGTGGTGACATTGATTGTGAGACTTGTGCCGCTAATTCTGTCCCTATTGAGTTCGACTCTAAACTCAGACTTTCACATACAAAATCAACGAGAAATAGAAAATAGGTACGAACAAAATAAAAAAAATAACGAACGGAAATGAAAAAGAACAAAATATAAAAGATTAAATACCTCGTTCCATTTATGATGGTTGCTAGAATTCTCGACAGCAGTGCCAAAATTTGATCACATTATAGTGTATGGTCAAATTTATTAGATTTCTCTAGGGTCTCTCACAACCACTAACTCAGGTCGTGACGGACGAGTTCTATGGTGGTTTAACGAATATGGAGGTTCATGTGATTTCGAGTATAAAGATTCCCTTGGTTTGACAAAATCAAAAGTAAAAACAATGCATGAAATGAATTCTAAACTACGAGCGAGTGGAGGAAGCAGGAGGATGAGGTGTTGCATAGGAAAGCTATCCCTAGAGTTCCTTTGACTCGTAACCTCAATCCAAGCAACTTATGATCTGTTTGATCTCTGTTAGGTTTATTCCTACCATACGCCATGGCAAATGACATGTCCAGTAGGCAAAAATATTAGGACCTGACAGATGTTTCCTTGGAAGTTGATGCAATGTGACCGATTGATGATCAATGAGGCTTTGCCATGTCCAATCTTATCGACCCACGAAGCTGGGTTTCAGGATATAACCTTTAGTGATGGCAATGGGGCGGGCGGGGCTGGTAAAACCCGCGCGGGTACGAGGCAGAGCGGTCGACCCACTCTTACATGTTATTTGAAAAAAATACACGCAAATTTTACTTTTTACCATAAAATGAAGGGAGAAACACTTGGTGAAAGGAAAATACTGATAATATAATGGGTAATTGAGTTTGAAAAGTTGAAAGATCGACTCTAACTAGTTGAATAAAAGTCAAAATAGGAAAAATATGTATAGATACTAAAAGAAATGAGATAAATGGGTCTAGAATGGGGCAGGGCGGGTCCGAAGTAAATACCCATGCCCTGCCCCACGCTACTGTGGGTTCGGGTAATACCTGCCCCGTCGCGGGTCAGGTCGGGTAATACCTGCGGGGCGGGTTGAAATTGTCATCTCTAACCTTTGAAGTTATTCCTCTTTTAGGCACACAATCAAATTAACAATAAGCCAAGCGAAAGAATGAGATATAAAGATAAAGAAATCAAATCATATATATGCCAAAATCAAAGGTTACATAGTCAAGAATCACTAGGGTATGCCAACCGACGCGGCTAAGGGGACTAGCTAGCCATGGAGATGATTTTCTAAGGATACATCGGTCAAAATGAAGTCCCTAGAAGCTCTCCAAATTGGCAGCCATATTAGGCCACTGTTTCTGGTGTTGATTTGCCTTTTGATTCGGTTTTCCTCTAAGTCTGGTGAGTCACTCTGTCGGAAGAGTAATGATCCTCTAATTCCTCCTACGATGGGTATCGATCTTCTATCCTGTAAAGATCTATTTATAAACTTTCTGTTAGGGTTTATAGGTAGGAGAAGTCACTCTTCAATTCGTCTTTCGAGACCCAATAGGTCTCTGCAGCTTAGACACCACACAAGGAATATTCTAGATGAATCTCGGTGTTTTCTTGACGATCCCCAAAATGGTTGCCAAGGCATCGTTTTGAATTTTTGGCTGCTGAATCCATCACTACTTCTTGACTTCACTCCATTCTGGATTCTAGCAGTCGAGTCTTTATATCCCCCAACACGTAGAAAGTGGTCCCTAGGATGTTCGCGAAGGATTAAGATTCAATCCAGCCACAGGTTCCCCTACGGCTACCTTGTTACGACTTCACCCCAGTCGAAGGCCCCACCGTGGTATGCGCCAATAAGACCACCAAAAGCCGGTTATGCCTTCAACGGCAAGAACTGCGGATATTTGAACAAGAGCTTCAGCTGAACCCAAGAGTGAAGAGTCGACAAGAGGAATCACAGCTGAAATCTACCAAGTTTAGTTTTCTCGGTCTTTTTGGTTGCAACACGAATTCCGGAGAGTTAAATTAAAAAAGTGGAAAACACACGAAGCACTACCAAGAGTACATCAAAATAGTAAAAGTGATCCTAGATCTATTAAAACTGAAAATTCAAGGTAGTATGACGATAACTGTGTGAAACTATGAAGTTATGGTCAGAATACGAGGGTCTAAAATAGTACTTTGTATGTGTCATCAACATGCATGCATGGTTGTATTAGGTGAAGATGTGTGTGTTTACATATGGCAAAGATCAAGGCTTAAGTGTTTGGAAATTGGGGAAAAAAGAGATTGTGCACAAAATGGAATACATCACAGCTAGGAACAATTGTCGCGAGATCAAGATTGCGTGACGCACAGAAAATCACGATCGGGATCTTTCGTCCCTCGGCAGTGAACTTTGGGAGGATAGCACAAAGAAGAATAGAAGGTCTCGTGGTCTCACTCGCACACCTTTAACCATAAGACCGTGAGAAAGTTCACAACCGCGACTTCTAGATCACGATTGGGATGTCAAGTTCACGACCTCCCTTCATGAATAGGGCAATGTGATGCCGCATTGAGATCGCGCAAAAAAACTTTGAGTTGGCGACCATGCACTTTCCCCAAAAATAGTCGTGAATTTCTTTGAATCTCTTATCTCAATAAATAAGAGGAGACCCCAAAGATTTGAAAGTGCTTATTTTATAGACACATTTTAGATAGAGAATTAGGGTTTTTCCTTTTCAAAGAAGAAGAAAATGAGCTTGGAGAAGAAGAATTATAGAAACAAGGAGGCTTCCCTTCATTGTTTTCCTTACCCCTTTATGTATTCTTCTTCTCCCCTTCATGAGGTAGTACATTAAGATTAACGGGTTGTTTGCTTCGTGGATTTGAAAAATGAAGGTAATGATAAGACTTGGGTTTTGTAAAACCATGGATATATGAGGGTTTTGGGTTCATTATGTACTTGAAAAATACCATTGTTTGTTTCATAGATTTCATGATGAAGTTTGTTAATTATATTTGTATGTATGAAATGTAACTTACCATTATTGTCCTCATTGGTATATGAAGAGAAATGAAATAGGAGGGGTAGTTTGGTCTTAAATGATGGACTTCAAAGTCCATGATCAATTCCCACCTAAAGAGGTGGAACTTTCAAGTTCGTGGGGTCCACGTATTTGGACCATTAAAGTTCGTAGGACCCACGAATTTGTTGCTTGCACATGTTTATAAAGGGAAGTACTTTCCGAGGGGAAGTTTTCTTGAGGCGAAGGCGCGTTCCCGTCCCTCCTGGGTGGCAAAGTATCCTATTTGGGCGCCAATTGTTGAACCAAGGGCTACGGTGGCAAATTGGTAATGGTCAGATGACCCCGTTACTTGAGAATAGTTGGTTTTCGTGCCTGCACCCGCTGGTCCCTACGTTTAACCCCTATGTCTTGCCCGCTGATGGGGAGTTGAGGGTTGCTACTGCTGCGGAGGATGGCTGCTGCCTGCTGGTGTGATGCTGGTCTGGCTCAATGGTTTGATCTTCCCACTTGTCGTGCCATTAAGGAAATTCCATTACCTCATGGTAATGTTGAGGATCGGTTAATTTGGCATGGTAGATCGAATGGGTCATTCACGGTGAAAACAACATACCATCTGGATGTCCAGTTGGACAAGAAGGATGGCTGGTGGCGTTCATTAGCCAGTTGGATGGATAGGTCTAGCTGGATCCGTGTATGGGCCGCTCCCATTCCTCCAAAACTGAGGGTCTTCCTCTGGAAAATCTTCAACCGACTACTTCCTACTACAGAAGCTCTAAGAGAAAGGAAGGTCCAGGTCCATCCATGTTGCCCAGTTTTTTGGGCTGAGTCCGAGACCTTGGAGCATTTGTTTCTGGAATGCTCTGTGGCTAGAGCTCTATGGGATTATGCGGGGCTGGAGTACTTGGGCCAGGAGTTGCCTCGTCACACTTTTCCTTTGTTCCTAAAGAGGTTGATGAATATCATCCAGCAAGACCAACTGTTTATGGCGGTTACCGCAGTCCTTTGGCAAATCTGGTGGTCCCGAAACTAGCTCGTCTTTGAAGGTAAACAGTTTGGCATTCCAGCTTTAATGCGGCAATATCATCAGTAGTACCAGGAATGGATTAGCATGTCGGTTGATAGATCTTAGGGACCTCCGACTCCCCCGGTGGTGGATGTTCCTAACTGCCCTATAATATGCATGTGGGATGGGGCGACTCAGTCAGTTTCCCATTCAGCCGGTGGTATGGTGGTCAAAAGTCAGACTGGGGGAATTCTCATGGCAGAGGACTTTAATTCAGGGGAATCTATGACCCATTGGTTGCTGAAGCTCTAGCCCTCCGGGAATAGCCCTCCGGGAAGCGATACTCTGGTGTCAGGATTCCGGATTTGAGGCGGTGCGCTTTGAAGGGGATGCTAAGGTGCTTATTGACAAGATCAACCAGTCGGATGCTAGGGATAGCCGAGTTGGGGCACTTGTGGAGGAAATTATTGGTTTTATGGGGTCACTGGGAGGTTTTTCTGTGCGGTTTGTAGGTCGGCGTAGTAATAGAGTAGTCCACTTGGTGGTAAAAAGGCCCTTCATTTGTACCTTACTGCGAGTCGTTATTTTGATTTTCTAGCCTAGTTAAATTCCAGGATGTAACTATCTATGTTTCTGATCAATATATCGATTATCTTTTGTAAAAAAAAAGCAGCATCAAAACGGAATAGCAAGAGAGGTATTCATAAAAAAAAAAGCAAGAGAGGAAAATTGCAAACTAGAGTTGTTAGAATCAACACTAAATCAGGGAGTCAGTTGAAGAATATCAAGAGAAGGAAACCGATGTTATGAGCCAGTTTCGCGATGAGACTCCGGCGAAGGAGTTTCGTGATGGGAATCTAGCGGAGGGGGGATTTAGGTTATTCATTTGCAGGAGAGAAAATCAACTTAGGTTGTCGCTGGAGAAGTACATCGAATCTGGGGTGGTATTAAACCTCGACAAGGATTGGAAAAAGGAACAAAGTCGACTTTGTCAGAGTAGAACAACGACATAGGCTCTTTAATTTACAAAAGGATAGGGGATTACAATCACTAATTGCGGGAATGAGTCTCGTAGTGATAGAGCACGCTCACACGTAATCGAAGGCTGGTAGTTTTGGATGAACATTACATTTGCAGGGCAGAAAGAGGTAGCGTGTTGGAAGAGGATAGAGGAGAGAGTTTTTCTTTGTTGGAGGGACCGCTTTATTTTTCGTGGTATACCTTAATCAAATAATAAAAAAAGAATTTAATAATAAAGAAAGTGGTGAATGACTAAAGGACTATTTCGATTAGTTTGTAATACATAAGTTACCATTTTATTAAATATCAAATATAAGTAGTCATTCTATTGTCTTCTTTATTAACTCTAAACACAAGGATTGTAAATAGGCATAGCAATACATCTACCCATTGTGTAATTTGACCCAATTGTCATGACCCATAAGGGTATAGGGTCAGATCTAACTGGACCCATATGGACTTTTAACGGTTTTGGATTTTGGGTTGGGTTTGAATTGGGTCCTTTTTTGTCAAATCATTTGAGTTTAGATGATTATGTACAATGTCAACCATGTCATTAACTACTTTCAACCCAATATACACCTTTATTTTATGTGTTTCCACCTCTCTATTTGTTTCATAACATCAAAAAAGACAAAATTACATTATAATCAAGTACCTTTTTTTACTTTCAAAATTATGATTCCAATGTAGACTCAAACTAAAAAATTATAAATGAATGTGGTAAAAAAATTACTCAAACTTGATTTGATGTATAATAAATTAGATTTAAACTAGTACCTAAATATTGATTCTTTTTTACATTCATAATTCTGAAACTATATTTTCCTAACCTCTACAATGCCGGCTCCAAAAGAAAATTGGTTGAGTTCGGATCAGCAGCCCAACTATTAGAATATAGAACCCTGCCAACCTAACCACTGTCTGTTCAAAAACTCGAGAGAGGACTGGGCTTGGGCCCCGGAATTCATAGCCCAGTTGCCGAGCCCTCAACGCCAGCAGCCAGATTCGCTTTCCGGCGACTCCAGTCCAGGTAACCTTTGCTCCCACTTTGAGGGTTTTAGGAATCATCCCCTCCCCTCTCTGCAAAGCTTGCTTCCTTCGCTTTGCAAAAATGCCGCCGCCGTCGCCGTCTCTGCCTCTCCGGTGGCTTCTCCGCCATTGTCTGACCTCTAGATCTTCTCCTACTCGTCTTCCTCCGCCGGCTTCGGCTCACCAGTCCATCTCTTCCACTTTCGCTCCCTCCCATCTCCCTAAATCTTCCTTTGTTCCGGCTTCTTTCTCAACGAGGTACTTTTCATCTCAATCCCCGAGCCCTGCTTCCATTTCGGAGCTAGACTCAGTAGCTCAGTCTCTATCCGCCGAACTGCTCACAGATCCAACCGTCGACTCCCTGCCAGTCCCGCAGAGGCTCAGCCTAAGCTTCTCCCATCTCGCCGGCTCAATAACTCCTTCTCTGATTCTGCAAACGCTCAGTCTTTCCCCCAATGCTGGCCGCGCTGTGCTAGGATTCCACCAATGGCTGGTCAGTAATCTCGATTTTAAACATACGGATGAAACAGTATCGTTTTTTATTGATTATTTTGGTAGACGGAAGGATTTTAAGGCCACCCATGAACTGCTGGTGGAGGGGAAAGGTGTTATTGGGTCTAGAACGTTCGAATCAATGGTTGATAGGCTTGTCAGGGCAGGGAGGCCTAAGCAGGTCGTTGAGTTTTTTGGGAAGATGGAGGCAGACTATGGGTTTAAGCGCGATAGAGACTCGCTTACTTTGGTGGTCAGAAAGCTGTGTGATCATGGCCATGCGAACTACGCTGAGAAGATGGTGAAAAATGTAGCTAATGAGATATTCCCTGATGAGACCATCTGTGATCTGCTGATTAAAGGTTGGTGTGTTGATGGGAAACTGGATGAGGCCAAAAGATTAGCAGGCGAGATTTACAGGGGTGGATTTGAGCTCAGTGTCGTGTCGTACAATGCTCTTCTGGATTGTGTGTGTAAGCTCTGCAGGGAAAAGGACCCTTTTAGGATGCAGGCTGAAGCTGAGAAAGTTTTGGTGGAGATGGACGTTCGAGGGATTCCTAGAGACGTGGAGACATTCAATGTGCTGTTCACTAACATGTGCAAGTTGAGGAGAACACAAGAGGCCATGGATTTGTTCCAGAGGATGGGGGAGTGGGGATGTTATCCTAATGCCACCACTTTCCTAGTGTTGATTAAGAGCTTGTATCAGGCAGCAAGAGTTGGAGAGGGAGATGAAATGATTGATAGGATGAAAAGTGCTGGTTATGGGGATAAGCTCGATATAAAAACATATTATGGGTTCTTGAAGATATTGTGTGGGATTGAGAGGATTGAGCATGCCATGGGTGTGTTTGAGATGATGAAGGCAGACGGGTGCAACCCTGGATTGAAGACTTATGAGTTGTTGATGGAGAATTGGTGTGCTCGTAACCGTCTGGATAAAGCAAATTCTCTCTACAGTGAAGCAGTGAGTAATGGAGTACCAGTCACGCCCAAAGAATACAAGATTGACCCTAGATACTTGCCCAAGCCAAAGGCTGTGAAGAAGGGGAAGAAGAGGGAAACACTGCCTGAAAAAACAGCCAGGAAAAAGAGGCGTCTCAAGCAGATTAGACTAAGTTTTGTCAAGAAGCCGAAGAAGCAGGCAATGCGTAGGCCATATTAGACGTGTTAACGTTGGTTGCTTTTCCCATCGGCCGAAGATGAACTAGGAGGTGAAGGCAATTTTTTTTCTCTACTTGTTCTTGTTAAACTTGCTGATCATGTTCGTGTGGACTCTGCTTTTGTATTTTGTTGCTGGAATTCGTTCTGGCAAACACTGGGAAATAAGTTTTACTTGTAATCCTGAGTTACTGTTTGTTAGTTGAATCTCTCCTCAAACATATGCCCTTCGAGTACAGGTCATAGTGCGATGAGCCTGAATTGGGTTGTGTTTGTGGTGTCACGTATCAACAACATTTTCTATACTCTCTTGCAGAATTGCTTGCTACAGTTTGTTTTTCCCTGTGTGCAAAGGGTTTTATTTTGAAGAAATGGGTTTATTGAGAATCTCTTCAAAGACATTGGTGTTGAAGAGATGCTTGGAACATCTGTGTGTTTGTCGAGAGGTTTTTCCGTCTGTATGTATGGTAACTAAATCGAATTCCTGCAATAGTGCTGTTGTATTGCATCTGCATGTTTTCTGAGTTGGGTTGGCTATGGATGAAAGCGACGAGGTGTATTGGCTGCAATATTATGACGCTGACTTCAGTGGCCGACTCCGCGACAGAAGTTTGCTTCTTTTTTTTGTGTATGGTTTTCTCAAATTTCATGATCTGCTAGTGAAGATGCTCATGCTCCATGAGGAACAGGAAACGTTATCACCTAGGAACCTAACAACGTTAATTATAAATAAAAGTGGGTTGGTTGATTTGCCCTCTTGCCTTTGCTTTGCCTTGGAGCTCAACCAAATAACCTACTACTGCTGTGGCTTCGAGCCTCAGGTCTAGACAGTGTAATATCGTGAAGGCTGTAGAGCTAAGAGAGGAAGCCAGAATCAAGCTCAAAGTATTGATGCACACCCACTAATTTATTTAAATAATTATAGGTATCTCAGCAATTGTTTACCTTGCCTTGTTAATACCGCATCTTGCATACACGAAACATCATGTGTTAACATAAATTAATTAATGTTGATGACAGCTTCCAAGGAGGGAAAACTCACGCTGTAGCCTGTAGGAACGATAGAGAATTCCCAAAATTTTCCTTTTTTTCTAATTTTCTACATGTTGGTCGTTGTGACCGACAGTGAGAGAGTTTAATATTTCTAATTTTCTATATTATACTCCAACAACAGATGAACAGAAAAAGACAAGTTGAGGAGGAAAAGGATGTGGGGTCCACGGTTCTTGCTGTCGGTGATCGTCTGTTGCCTGCTGTATACCCCTCTCCCTCCATCATCCCTGAATTGCCCCCGCTTGGTATTTTACTTTTTAACTAAAACTAATTAAGCCGTAGAATTATGCAATGATTTTTTGGTCTTGAATAGAGATAGGAATAGGTAGGGTTGGGTCGGGTTTTGCCAAACCCAAATTTATGGGTTTATTCGTGAAAAAAATTCAGGGTAAAACTCAAATCCAGGGTATTCACGTGTTTTTGTCGTAAAAAATTTACAATAACAAGTTCCTATCAAAATTAAAGTCAAATATCGATCTTTCAATACAAATTATCCATATATAAAACACAATTTTAGAAAATTCAAGCAAATCACAAATTAACTATACAAATTGTTCAACACCAATCTAGAAAACTTAAGAAAATTGAAACAAATCACAAATTATCCACAAATAACATGACTAATTGAAAGCTTCTTCCTCCTTGTCAATTAAGTTTTTTCACTCTCCACTCAATAACATCAACTTCATTCTACACAATTAGAAAGAAAAAATTAGACATGCCTCCACAAACATAAATAAGATTAGTTGTTTAGGATATTAAATATACCAAAAAAATTAATTATATGGTTGTGGGCAGGTACCCATGGGGCGGGTTTACCTAAACCCAAACCCGACCCACACTGGCGGAGGCAGAATCTGAAAGTACCTGTGTCCTTTTTTTATAATATAAAATAAATAATTATTTAATTATTTAATAAATATAATTAAAACTAATAATATCTAATTCATTTATTCATATATATTAAAAAAATACTAGACTAATAAAATTATTATTTTCATAAGAAATCACGACGCATTTTGAAATTCTCAATGTATCTGACTAAGCAATCATTAGCAAATTGGTCGCAATGCGATTTTGAAAATTGATTTTAATATAGATCAAAGCTGAAAATGTTCTTTCTACACTTGCAATTGCAACGAGTATAGTCAAAACTAACTTTTTTTATTACCCAGGAACCTCAGCCCTACGTGCCACTTTGTGACAGCGGGTCCTACTAAACCTGGGGGCCACCTGCATTCACTTTGTCGCCAAAAGGGCTTCGCCCCCAGCAGCCTTATACCTTCGAGAACACCAACGGGTCTCGCTTGGATTTGAACCTGGAATCTGCACCTCCCAAACCTTCACTGTTACGACAGTTTACCGTTAGGCTATCTTACCTTTGGTGAGTCAAAACTAACTTTAAAAGACACAGAGATCGACCTTTAGGTATTGTGAATTTTGTTTATAGTGTGATATATTGATTTATGCTAGCTTTGAAACTTGAAATAACTTGTAGTGTAGTGATAAAACACTTTTAGATTACCTAAAATTAATCAGTGCAATCCTTAATTGACACACACACACATATATATATATATTATGGCAAAGGCTAGCGTACGTCAGTCGTACGTTGTACGCCTGTGTTCACACTTGGTTTTTGCATTTCAATATATTTGGTTGAATCAGAACCGTCGGTTACTATTTTTTAGATTAAATGAATCTCGTGGCTTGGGTTAGAGAATTAGGGACTGGGGTTTATCCATTAGAGGTTAGGGTATAGTATCATGCCCAAAATTTCGGTTAATTCCTGCTCTAAATAGTAAAACTCGACGGCCGTACAATGTACGACTGACGTACGCTAGCCTGAACCATATATATATATATATATATGGTAGCTACTTCGGTGCACTCACTTTTTTGGGTGCACTCAACTCTAAAAGCGTCCATAATACATCAAATTTTGAACTTTAATTAGTACTCTCAATATAATATGATGATATGACATTTAATCATAACAAATCAATCCATTGCCCTAACCCCTTAACTTTCAATTTTGAATCTCAACCCAAAATCCCAAATTGTAAACCTAAACCCTGACCCTAAATCCCTAAATCCTAAATCCTTCGAATTAAAGTAAATTTTTAATGAATTTTTTTCAAATTCATGTGCTTCTTGTTCATAATATCATAAGCAACAATTGATACCGTTTTGACATGAATCGCATGGTCAGAATGACAATTATGAGGCGGGTGCACTGAGTGCACCCGAAAAAGTGGGTGCACCGAATACGACACCATATATATATAGATATATATGGATATATATATAGATATATATGGATATAGGTATTTTTTTTACCAAAAATTACCTGTGTCCCGGGACACATCCCATGCCCCCTAGCTCCGCCTATGCCAACCCAACCCGGTGAATAGTGAACGAGTTAAAACCCAAACCCAGCCCAAACCCCCTCAACACGGATTTTATCCGTGTTGACCGGGTTGGGTCGGGTGGGTACTCGTGGGTTCGGATTTTGTTGCCATCCCTACTGACAGACCCCCTTGGGATGCTTCCCCACTACCATCGCCCCCGCCTCCATCGAGTGATGATGACTTCATGAGGGACATCAACTTCGACATCACCGACGACGAGTAGCTGTACTCGTTGCCATCCCTAATCTTGAAGTACAAAATACTAACATCATTTATCATTCAACATAAAATTACTACTACCCAAAAGGGGATCGAAATTGTTGTACCTTATTATCATAAAAGGATTACAAAAATACAACTTTTCCCCCCGGTAATTAAGGTTTTCATTGAAGCACTCTCGACAAATTGTCAAGTCTTGAAAAAACTTAGGAATGCAATCCTTACAAGAGATCAGAAGTTACAAGAGGAAATAAAAGCATCACAACTTCTAATCTCTAACCCAAAATCACTCTTACTAGTCGTATAGAGCAATAAATCCTCCTTAAAGGAGGCCAATAACACCTGCACTTGCTTCGCAGCACCTCCAAATAATCGAGTGCAGTGTTCATTCCAAATCAAACTCACCAACCAGCTCCAAAGAGTGCTATAGACTCGGCCAAAAGCCTCCCCCCACCCATTTGTTCACTTCTCTGCAAACCTGTTGCAGCAGGCAAACGTCTCATCTGCTTGGCCAACGATGAACCCTGTTGAACACAACCATAAAGAATTGTTGGGCATAGGTACAACCACAATCATAGATCCTCACATCACACACGTTGCATCATCAATCACTCTCCAAACTTTCAGCCTCTCCTTCGTCTTCATTCTGTCAAGGATAATTAGCAAGGAGATAAAACGATGCTTGGGGATAGAGTATTTTGTCCACAAGACCTTCCACCATAAAGCTTTAGGTTTGTGAACTCTAATAGACTCTCAAACTCGTTGAACTGAGTACTTCAGAAGAGTCTGACCCTCCCAACCAAGTAACCTGCCCTGCACTATTAACATGAATTCGATTTTGAAACCAGCTTCTAAATCTCAGTACTTGCTTCCAGACCCAAGAGCCAAAATTGGCAGTAGGTAAAACCCAAATGGATCGATCTGGTCATCCTAGTTAACTATTGTCTATATAATATTTTTTTCACATTTTATAAAAAAAAATCACTTCTTATTATCTGTGTAAATTTGTATTAGTGGCATCTCTTTATAAGATTGGCGATTATTAACTTGTTTTTCTATTAGCTCCAAATAAAACAAAGACAATTATACTCTAAACTTATATGGAAGGACAAAATTCACCACATACTGATTCAAACTTTTTGGTTCATAATTATCTAAGAAGATAATAAAAACTACAAATGATCAAATGTTAATTCGTTGGTAATTAATATTTATCTCCAAAACATTTATGGTTGCTACGAGCTTACATTGGGGATGATAATAGCATCTGGAGCAGTGGCTACTCAACTCGAACCAACCAGGTCAAACAGATAAAATCCAACATTGACAGGTTTTGGGTTGGGTGCGGATAAAACCCCAGGGGGCGGACCGACGAGTGTGGGGACACCCCTAAATTTTGGGAAAGCGATTATCCAACTCCCGGTAGTAATTTACGTATTGACAAAAAAATTATAATTGATAGTCGGGGACACCCCTAAATTTAAAAAAGTGATTATCCTACTCTCATCTTTTAGTTTGAGTATAAGAATATAAGTAGTAGTTTGGGTAATTCAAACATAGGACACTTTTATTATTAATAAACCTAATTTTCATTAGGCTACAACTCATATGTTATTCGATTTTAAACACTGTGTAATAGTATAATGTCATTCTCTATCTCTAATTGTTTTCAAAATCTAACAATTAAACAAATTTCAAGCTACCCTTAATTTGTATTGATTTATGGTTTTACAACAAGTATTGAAAGAGTTTTTTCAGCTTTGGATTACATCAAGAACAAGTTTAGAAATTGAATATGTGATCAGTTCGTGAATGATTGTCTAATATGATATACAGAGACAATTTTTTTTTTTAATAGTGTACCCCCAAGTGTGTTCTACAATCATTTTTTAATATGAAAACACATTGTGAATTTTTTCAAACTGTATGAGTAAAGTATTTCTTATTTAAATATTATTTATTTTTTATTAATTATTTTAGAATTATTTATATTTAATTTATTTTTTAAAAGAGGACACCCCTATGTAAAATTTCTGGGTCCGCCACTGTAAAACCCGCTTCTAGAATTGGCTTGTTGGGTCAGGTACTAGTTTGGCTAAAACACGACCCGAATCAGGGAGACAAAAAAGTGTTGTTTTGTACCATAAGTTCGATAAACATTGAACTATATGTATAATTTTTTTGGATGTTACTTTTATTATTAACCAATTAGTAGGATATATGAATAACTTATGTATATTATTAGTTTTTATGACAATGTATTTGAGTAATTATGTTCGTATATTATAATGAATTTGTTCGAAACATAATATTTTGAATTATGTCCGTAGTCCATGTACCCGTTGGCTTGGTTTAGAATTGCTCGAACTCAATGGATATTTGAGCGGGTGAATCGGTTGGATTGGAGAATCCTACCTATTGCCATCCTTTAGTGAATGTGAAGTCAATATTCTTTCCTTGTATGTCCCAATAAACTTTTATAAATGATTGACTTTTATATCTAAAAGGAAGGGTAAACATGGCTTTTTATTCAAAAAGTATATTTTCATATTACTCGACGATTCTTGGAGCCATTCACCGCATGATTGCGCAAAGTTGGGTGGTTCAACTAGTTCATACGTACAGGGAAGGGAATAGAGTCGCAGACTGGCTCTCGAAGCACAGTCTCGTCTATCCCTTCGGTACGCATCAATTAGATGAACCCCCAACAAATCTTCTTTCGATTCTGCAGGATGATGTTCGGGGAATCAGCTTCCCGAGACGGGTTGTGGAGCATACTTAGGTTGTTTTTGTTTCTGGTTAGCTGCTGCTGCTTTTGTTTTCTTGGATTTCTGGCTGCTGCCTGAGTTTTGTTAAGCTGGTTGGGGAGTCTTGTGAGAAGATTTTTCGGCTGCAAGCAGTGCGCCCTCCCTGCTTCTTGGACTCAGCCCTGCTGCTACTCTTGTAACCTCTTGGCTGACTGATAGCCTCCATTTAATAAAAAAAATATAGCATTGGTGCTTTAATGTACAACTTGAAGTTGTACCATAACATTAAATGTATAAGTTTAGGTTGTACCATAAAGAAATTTGTATCATTATGTTATGGTACAACTTTACAACTTAAAGTTGTACCATCACACAAGGTACAAGTTTAAGTTGTACCATAAAAGAATTTGTACAAAAAGTATAGGTACAATCTGAAGTTGTATCATAATATTAAAGGTACAATTTCAAGTTGTACCATAAAGACAAAAACCTATAAAAGAATTTGTATCATTATGTTATGGTACAACTTTACAACTTGAAGTTGTACCATCACACAAGGTACAAGTTTAAGTTGTACCATAAAAGAATTTGTACAAAAAGTAAGTTGTACCATCACACAAGGTACAAGTTTAAGTTGTACCATAAAAGAATTTGTACAAAAAGTATAGGTACAATCTGAAGTTGTACCATAACGTTAAATGTACAATTTCAAGTTGTACCATAAAGGCAAAAACCTATAGCACCAATGCTATATAGCATTGTAAAATTCCTCAACTATCAAATGTCTAAAATACACACAATTAAACAATACATTACATTTAATTTAGAATGCAAAAATACATTGATTCTAATAAAATGCAAATACCAAACCACCTCTTAGACGATGGATAGTGGTGCTGCTGAGCACCCGTCTTTCATTAGATGTGGCTAGCAAGTAAATAGCGACCAAATTAGTAACTTTTTAGGTCAAAATTATCAATCAAATTAAGCACTATATTAAAAAACGCAACGATATGATAAAACAGAAGCGGCATTGACTTTACCTGCTAAAACAACTACTCGTAATAATTAGTTTAATTTAATGACAGCAAGGTTGCACCTTCCACACCGGCAAATACACGAGGAGAAGGACACAATTGTAATTAGACCGGAAATACACGTCATCGACTCATGGAGCCAAGAGAGGCCACTAGCTCCCTGAGTAGAGTTGTCAATAAGAAGTGGCCAATTTTTAGCTCTGAAAGCCAGAAGCTTAATTATTCCCCTTTCGACCCATGTGAGAAAAGTCATTTCTCACTACCACAGGCCACAGCTGTCTTTCTATTCTCAAATCTCAACACTCCCATCTTGATGCAGATCTTGTGAGCTATAACTCTTCAACAGACGCTATTAGCTGCACTAGTTGCTTCTCCACATTCATCATCGGAAAAGGATCTGAGGGCAAGCTCCATTCCAGTAATTAATGGAGCCCCATTTCCCTTCTTTTGCTGGTCTGCTCACCAAGCTCTGCACTCCCACGATATTGTTGCTTGTCTTGCTTTCTTCCTCTACTTTCACCTCCACAGGTGGGTTCTTCTGCTGCTTCTTTCCCCTAATTGAGTTCCTCATGGAATTCTGTGTATCGTACATATATTTGTTTATTTTGAGGAGTTGTTGGGTTAAATTTTGGGAAATTCGAGTCTGGGTTTGGTGATTGAAGTTGGAAAGTTGAGATCTTGGAGTTTGTTTCCTTCTTTGGAGAGCATTTCTTCATACTGGTTCTGTCGGTGGCTTATTCTTAAGGGGTGCTCACTGTAGAAGGAAATGCTTATTATGTCTTACTTGCTCAGTTCTGTGGTACTTGCCTTTCTCTTCGTTTTAAAGAAGAGATCTTGTCAATCTGGAAAGCTTATGTTGTTTAACTGATTTCCTTTTGCAGAAGCTTATGATGCTTTGGATCCTAATGGGAACATCACCATCAAATGGGATATCATAAGCTGGACTCCAGATGGCTATGTTGTAAGTACCAATCCGTTCCATTTCTCGTTTAATCTAGTCATGATTTCAATTCCCGATGCAAATCGGTCAAGAAGTTGCTAGTGATGGAAAAGTTTGAGGGGATTTGGCACTTCATTAGGATTGTGAATGAAGTTATAAACTGATGGAGGGTTTTTACCTCTATTCCTTGGCAGGCGACAGTTACCATGTTCAACTTCCAGCAGTACCGCCATATTCAAGCACCAGGGTGGACTCTGGGATGGACATGGGCTAAAAAGGAAGTCATTTGGAGTATGGTGGGCAGCCAAACTACCGAACAAGGGGACTGCTCCAAGTATAAAGGAAATGTTCCTCATTGCTGTAAGAAGACACCAACTGTGGTGGACTTGTTGCCTGGAACTCCTTACAACCAGCAGATTGCAAACTGCTGTAAAGGTGGAGTGATTAACGCTTGGGCACAGGACCCAGCCGGCGCAGTTTCCTCCTTCCAAGTCAGTGTTGGAGCTGCTGGAACAACTAACAAAACTGTCAGGGTACCCAAGAACTTCACTCTGCTAGCACCCGGTCCTGGTTATACTTGCAGCCCGGCAAAGGTCGTGAGACCTACTAAATTTCTGACTGCTGACAAAAGGAGGGTCACTCAAGCTTTGAGTAAGTTATATATACTTTTACTTTATAACTTCTCAATAATAAGCTGATTGTGTTTGTTGGAAGTCGTTAACACTGTCTGAATGTCATGGCAGTGACCTGGAATGTTACTTGCACATACTCACAATTCCTGGCGCAAAAGACGCCAACCTGTTGTGTTTCCCTCTCATCCTTCTATAATGACACCATAGTGGGCTGTCCAACTTGTGCCTGTGGTTGCCAAAACAAGACGGCTGGGAGCTGTGTTAAGTATGATACTTGCTCGTCTTTATGCTGGCTTTATTTGTCATGCTTACACCAATGATTTGAAGATCTTTCAAGAATGCTAACTCCTGCTTTGAATGTGTTGGCCTTACTTGTTATTCTTGCAGTTCGAAAACTCCACACTTAGCCTCAGTAGTTTCACCTCCAGGCAAAACCGACCTAACTCCTCTGGTTCAGTGCACCAGCCACATGTGTCCAATCCGAATCCATTGGCATGTGAAGCTTAACTACAAGGAGTACTGGAGGGTGAAAGTCACCATCACTAATTTCAATTACAGAATGAATTACACGCAGTGGAATCTAGTTATGCAACACCCCAACTTCGATAACCTTACCCAGATTTTTAGCTTCAACTACAAGTCATTAACTCCTTATGACGGCTTCAGTAAGTCTACTACCATTGCTAATGAGACTATGATCCTCTCTTCATCAAATATTTTAATCATAGTAGTCCTGATGTCATTTGCAAATTCTCTTCTTTCTTTGAGCAGATGATACAGCCATGCTATGGGGAGTTAAGTTCTACAATGATTTCCTGTCACAAGCTGGTCCCCTGGGGAATGTCCAGTCAGAGCTTCTCTTTCGGAAAGATCAGTCAACATTCACCTTCGAGAAGGGATGGGCTTTCCCCAGGAGGATTTACTTCAATGGTGATAACTGTGTGATGCCTCCACCAGATGCATATCCCTGGTTGCCTAATGATGGTTACCAATCAACTATGTCTCTACTTCAAGCACTCACGACAGCACTGCTGTCTTTCATCGTCCTCTTAGCTTATGCGTGATGAATCAGCGACATAGAACAGAGCAAAACAATCTGGGCTGTTGTATTTGGTCTGAGATACAGAAACCATTGAGAAAATTTACAGACTACTACTCATGGTGGGTGGCTGGCTACATGTTAAGAAGAAGCTCAATGGGATTGCAGAAAAGGACGATTGCTTGTACCCACAGATATCTGCTCTGCAATTATGTTTTGGCAAATTGAATTTATGTTGTTCTCTACTTTTTGTTTGTTGAGAGTTAGTTCTTTTTGTGTATACGTATTTAAGGTCAGACACTTGATATACCAGACTTCAAAATCACCCTATATGATTTATATAATCTTTCTCATTTGTATGGTTAATCTACGAAGAATCCACAATAATGTATTGTTTTTGGTCCCTAGGTATGTGGCTCAGATTTTTGTTCTTTGACATACTTCTTAAATGCAAAAACACTACAAGTTGAACAAAGTTGAAAAGTTACAGCAGATACATTAATAATTCCAACTCCCTTTTAGCAGTGACAAAAGTTTGAAGTTTCAAGAATGCTTGGAGTACACGCTATTTATTACCAGGCTCTTTCTCACATGCAAACAGTCTCCACAATTGAACTATACATATGGTCGGAGCATCGTATCTGGGTGGCAAAAATTTCCAGGTTCAATGATGTTTACTTACCGGGTACGGCATTCCAGGTCCTTCTGAAACCACTCTTCATTATCTCTTTTACTGAACCTTCAAAAACAATCACACTTCCTTGTGGAGTAGGGTTTATCACAAGATGCACTGCAACATGAGAAGGAACCAAGCTGCTGCTGCTGTGAGAAATGGGAGAGGAGTTGCGGAGGCAAGATTTGGGAGGTAAGGGTAAGCATCAGGTGGTGGCAGCATGCACTCATCCCCATTGAAGTAAACCTTCCGAGGAAATGCCCATCCTTGCTTTAGGGTGAAGGTATTCTGGTCCTTCCTAAGAAGAACTTCAGACTGCACATTCCCAAATGGTCCAGCTTCCATTATCAGGTCATTGTAGAACTTCATCCCGTAGAACATCCCAGTATCATCTGCCAAAACCACAACCATATATAGTCAACATCCACACAAACATTGAGGAGAAAACATCCAGCAAAACAATTTCCTTGGCGAAACTCACTTATCGACTGGTAAGCGACAAGAGGTTTGTAATCGAAGCTGAAGACCTGGGTGACATTGTTTAGATTAGGATGCTGAACGACGAGAGTCCACTGCGTGTAGTTCATCCTGTAGTTGAAGTTGGTGACTGCAATCTTTGCCCGCCAGTATTCTTTGTAGTTCACCTTGACGTGCCAGTGCACTCGAACCGGGCACATGTGGTGCGTGCACTGCAGCAGCGGCGTGTTGTCCTTCTTCGGCGTGTTGATTCCCTTCTTGTGAGCTTCCTTGGAGTTGCTCCTGCAAACACTCTCCAGATTCAGCATTTGCAAGCTTCAAGGGGAGAAGGGTGGAGAATACTAATAAAAAAAAAGTAACAAAACAGGGAGGATTTAGATTACGTTATACAGCTGCTTTTACTGTGGCAACCACATGCACAATTAGGGCAAGGAGTGATTGTTTCATTGTAGAATGTTGAGAATGAGACACAACAGCTTGGATGCTTGGAGGCCAGGAACTGTGAGTAAGTACATGTTACATTCCAAGTCACTGCAATCACAAAAAAACAACCACCACCAAAAACAAACACAACATTTCTTATCATCAATCCCACTGTCAATGAAGAAGGGAAGGGAAGAAAGACTCACTGAGTGCTTGTGTTTTCCGGCGGCGATCAGGAGTCATGAACACAGTAGAAGGAACAACCTTTGCAGGTCCACAGGTGTAGCCTAAACCAGGACCTAGAAGAGTGAAGTTCTTGGGAAGCTTGACCGTTTTGTTGGAAGTTCCACCTTGGCCAACGCTGACCTGGAAAGCCGAGACAGAAGCTGAAGGGTCCTGCCCCCAAGCTGCCAACACACCTCCCTTGCAACAATTGCTGTATTGTTGGTTGTAGGGCACTCCAGGGAGCAGGTCCACAACTGTGGGAGTCTTCTCGCAGCAATGCGGTACGTTGCCTTTGAACTTGGAGCAGTCACCTTGCTCAGTGGTTTGAGCTCCCACCATTGACCATATCACTTCCTTCTTTGCCCATGACCATGACAATGTCCAACCTGGGCTCATTATGTGCCGGTACATCTGGAAGTTGCTCATCGTTACGGTTGCCTGCACAGAGAAAGGAAGATAATAAGCTCATCGAATTAAGGAAGAGAGCTTTTTTTTTTGTGGAGCAAGTGAGTTTGAGATTCAGTTATATGTATATAATGTACCACATAGCCATCCGGAGTCCAAGACATGATGTCCCATTTGATGGTTATGTTCCCATTTGGGTCCAATGGATCATATGCACCTGCAAAAGGAGATGGATAGGTAGTAAAACAATGTTTGTTCTGTTGATGTCATGAATATTAGGAAGGAAGCAAAGCAGTTTTACCAGCAGGATGATGAAGCATGACTGCAAAAATGAGGGAGACGACGAACATTAATCTCGATTGTAGTCGAGATAAGGATCTTCTCCACCACCATTGGCAACTGCGTTGGACCTCAGCATCAGGCATTTTCAAAGATGTGGAGGAGTGAGAGTTAATTTTCTCTGAGGTTGATGACAAGGAATGTGAGGTTGCAGTGAGCATTATAAGACTCTTGATTAAGCAAGCAAGCAAGCAAGAAGAGTGAGTGAGTGAGTGGGTGAGAGGAATGAAAGCCTGGTGATGTCTCACCTAAAACGTTAGTTGGCTAAGGTATGTGATATTGAGAGCAGCAAAGGTATCTGGATCTTGAAGCAAAGAGTGTCTGGTGGGGAAGTGGAAATGATGGGAGAGGCGACAGAATACAACAACAGCTCAACGGCCTGGTTTTTCTGAGTCCCGATCACAAGAGAGAGGAGTTGGTGGTCACATTTTCTTTGGCGTGTAGAAGCTTCAATCAAGCTTTGACATGCAATGGATTATAGACAGGAACACTGCTTTGAAACCAAGTAAGGATTCCACTATTTTCCTCTTTGATGCGTATTATTATTCTCGTATTTTTTGTATTTGTTTTTATTTAATTACTAGTTTTTGAGTAGCCCTTCACAGCGGTAATAAATCTGGATGGCTAAATGTCGTCATAGTTCTACTACTATGACCCTAATTTAAAAGTGGAAATTCCATAACTGTCCAAGAAACAAAATGCAAAAAAATCACAAACCAAACGCATAGTAACCCTCCTCTGAGCAATTGGAAGTCCTTCGCTGCATCCATCCAATCCACCGCCGCAGTCCTCCGCCAACAAACACCCATTCCACCGCCGTCGTCCTCCGCAGCGACCACCCAATCCCGCCTCGTTCACCATGTCGTTGTCCTTCTCCTCCAGTTGCGCATCCTTTAAGTCGCTAACCCTATCGTTCTCACCGTCCTCCACCCATCTTTCTCACCGTCGTAGCACAGTCTCTCTTCCATCTTGTGGTCGACCATCTCTGATCTTCACCGGTGTGGAATACTTGTTCGCATTCAGTTATTACATCTGTTCATTTATATATCAAATTCAATATATTAGTAACTTTGTATTACGTGAGAATGAATTGTGGATGATAATGTTAATCCCCAATATACTACATCCTCTGCTTTTATCTGATATTGTCGCTCGAGTGGGTTGGTGGAGAATATGGTGGCTAGGGCTGGCCATTCGGTTAGCGGTTAACCGACTAACCGAAAAAGTCAGTGTCGGGCGGTTGGCGGTAGTGGGTTTCACTGTGCCGGTTAACCGGCTAACCGACGGTGGTAACCGCCGGTTAACCGGCTAACCGGCCAGCTAACCGGTGAAACGAAAACGACGCCGCTGAGCGCTGACTCAAACGATCCACTTCTTCCACCCGACTAACCCTAATCGAAGACGCAGCTCCTGGCCTCCTGCCTCCTCTGCAAACTTTGAACGACCTCCTCCCTCCTCAGTGCAGCTCCTGGCCTCCTTCGACCCTCTGCCGACTGCCGCCCGGCAGCGCCACTCCACTGCTCGCCGCGAGCCCACCCGCCGGCGCCGCGCCACTCCTCTGCTCCGCCGGCGCCGCGCCATTCTCTGCCGAGTGCCGAGTGTTGCCGCCTACTGCCAGAGGAACCTTCTCCCTCTCCGTCCCTGAAGGGCGACGCCGCCGCCACTCTACACTGTCGCCGCCGCCCCAGTCCTCTGCTCGGCGTTTGTTGAAGAATTATGTAAGTCGCCCGCAAAAGGAGTCCGAATCTTACTCGAGATCAAAATCTGAGCTGGCGAGGGATTGACTCCATGGCTAGGGATTGGAGCCGAGGTGCAAGTTCCTAGTTAGGAAGAGCTTCAGCAGATCAAAGCTAGATTGCTTCCAGATCGACAAGGAGGAAGATCGCCGCCACTGCTGGAGGCGGTGAGTCCATCGATGATTTTTTTGAAGGACTCAAGACGTCGACAGATCGTTTGATAAATGGAGAATTAGATGGAAAGTGAGGAGCTGGAATTTATTTGGGGAATCGATTTTACTTAGTATCTATGAATTCAAAGTAGCATAGAGGGAATCCAGAGAATTCGTGTTGCGGTTCCGTCGGTTAACCGAGCAACTAACCGGTAACCGACCGGTCGGTTGCCGGTTAACCGAAGGATTATTTCGGTCGGTTGGCGGCAGGCTTCCTCCTTGGCGCGGTTAACCGGTAATCGGCATTTCGGTTATCGGTTATAACCGAACTAACCGAAATGCCAGCCCTAATGGTGGCAGCGAGTAGTGGAGGCGGTAGTGAACGGTTAAATTTTGTTATTTGTTGGAAGTGTTTGTTAGAATAACATATTTTTTAATAATAAAAAAGAAGGATAAAGTGGTAATTTTAACTTTTAAATTAGGGTGATTATACAAAAGTTAGGGCCAGAATTAGCAACCCCCTAATAAATAGGGGTGGGCAACGGGACGGGACGGGATACCGAACTTTGGATTCTCTAAGAAATAACTAATCAAACCTATGCTTAATTATTGGCCGATCAGTAAAAAAAATTACGAGTATTTAGGTACCCGTAACCCTAAAAAAAAGGGACGGGTATGTGTATACCCAAATACCCGTTTCCCGTTGCCCACCCCTAATAATAAACAAAACATTCCCACCCATTCCCACCCTCTACATGACTACATCCTACTACTATATATTATTTCACACCTCGATTTTGAAAACAATATGTAACAAAATCATTAACGATATAAAAAAGGGTATGACTTTTGGCATTGACCTACATTATAGTGGGCGAGTTCGAGTTCAATGTATTGCTTGTGCTCATTCGTAGAGGAAGTGACCTGCCATTGCGGTTATCATTGATATCTCAACCTTATTCCTAGTGAGCTTCTTTGATTTGATTTTTTTTTAATAAATTGCAGTTCCATGCAATAGTCAAAGACCCAAGTGGGTTGACAAAGTTGGGTTAAAAAAACCTATGGAAGGTAAAGAGAATGCAAAAGACATTAAAAGGCCCAACGTAAAAGAAAGGGCCGAAGCCTCAAACTCCACATTGAGAATTCTAACAATCATAACATACCCAAACTCTATCTTATTTCACCTCCTCTGACCTCTGCACCACAACTGCAACTAGTTCTAGATCAACGAAGGGCAACACAAAGAAAATACAACACAAGCCTGCAATGGAAGAACCTGGAAAACAGAAGCTTCCACAAGATCCAACATCCCAGAAGCGAGTTGGAGTCTTCAACCTAAGAATGCATGGAGACGAAAAAGGACAGAGGTATAACCCTGTCTTAAAGCCCTTAAAAATGTACTTGAAAGGCTTCCCAATAGGCCCTTAGACATCTCTGAAATACCATGATCTATTGGGTAAAGCAAGGAGGAGGGTGACGAGATATGAAAAGGTGAAGAAAAACTGTAGACAACTCCCTTTGCTCCCTAGAAGACATACACAAAACATCTAGATATCCGGAGATCATACTAGGAAGAAGCAACATAACCATCTACAAGAGAGGTTGAGAAAAAAAAAACTCATAGAAAGGAAAACAGAGAATGAAAAGTTCCACATAAGGATTGAAAATGATAACGTAGAGGAGAAATCATAAAAGAAAGTCAAGGAAGAAAGAGATGGTGTTGCGGGCCACCAAAAGACGCACGCTACAGCACATACGAGCTCGTAGAGAAAGGAAGTTAGAGAGACGAGAGGTTTTTATGTTAGAGAGAGGATGTTGAGAAATAATTCCAATTGTTAGCTCCTTTGATACAATAACTAAACTCGAAGTTGTTGAGATTAATAGTTTTAAAAGATATAAATGAAATTTTAAATTAAATATATAGTATCTTTTCTCACTACGAAAAATAAGTAAGATAATCAATAAAAGGAATATTCAGGAGATAATGTGAGTTAATTATCTTAGCAGGTACCTGACCGCCTTTCACCCATTCAACGCGGGGAACCCCACTTTGACTGGGTATGGGGCGGGTATGGGTAAAACCTGCAAAAAGGTTGATGGGTATGGGGAGAGTATAGTTTGGACTCCCCCGCCCCATACCCATACCCATACCCAAACCTGCCCCACCAGGGATATTATGTTATATGCATAAAATATAAGGAGTCTATTAAGCTAAATTACACGTTTGGTCACTTTAATTACATAAATCTATCACGCTTGCCACTCGAATTACTTTTCTTTCTTATTACACTACCTTTAGAATCGTTTCATCGTTAGTCATTGGCCGCCAGTCTCCGTCAAGGTCCGTAAGTTCCGTCAGTTTTTTGATGACGTGGCAAACAGATCTTCTGACTAGACTGTTAACTTAATGTCATTTATTTAAAAAATTTAAAAATAATTAATTAAGGAAACATACAGAGAATTAATGGAGAGAATAATTGGAATACTCCCATCTCCATTGTAACACCCTACCCTGTACTTTTTGCCTGATCATATTGTTCACCCAATTGCACCAGAATTTAAAACTGGTGTTACATTAATTTTCAAAAATCAACCAATAAAATTTCAACATGAATTACTCGCGTAATGGGCTAACAGTTCTTGCAACTAGACCTGCAAAATAATTTAATTGAATCCCTGCATTCGTAGACATACATATATACTCACAACCATGTACATTGGCTTTCGTAGCCATAGTCAAACTTTCGTAGTCTGCAACTACATATCATACTTATACATGTCATAATCGTCACTACATACACCACCACACACATATACACATATAACATATAATCAACTTTCCACACATGTGGATATCTCATACTACATCAGAAGCTAGTATGCACATGAAAATGTTCTCAAAACATTTTTATAAAAAGGTGTGGATCACTGGCCAAAATCCCAAGTAGTCGTCCAAGCACAGAATAGTTGAAGACCATACCTCATTCTGCCTTCAACTCCTCATTCTGCTCACACCTATGTACTTGCTACTGCTATTGCTGATGATCTGCTTACACATAGCATAAGCAGAGGAAAAGAATAAAAGAGGGTCAGCTCATGGCTGAGTGAGATAATCATAGCATAGTGAGTTCATAACAGAGCATACCCCTACCATACATCTAACAAACAAGACAAAGCACTAGGATCAGACCTCAGCCATCCGACATCCCAATAGGCAAAAGACTCAACCACCTTGACTTATGCAAATGCATCTTATTATGTTTTAATCATAGGCGCCTGGCTACTCCCATGCTAATTACTCTCCCGAGAATACGGACCAAACATCTCGTGGATGTGGTCATATCGGACCCAGCACTGTCGGTGTAGTCATATCGGACCTGACACCACTCTGGGTGTGGTCATATCGGACTCAACACCACTCTGGGTGAGGTCATATCTCATGATGAATCAACGGTCAACACCACATCAAGGGTGTGACTTAACATATCATAACAGAGTAATAGCATGGGGAGCCCTAATTACTATGTAATTGACCATGAGACCAAAGTACTCTTACTTGGTATCCTTACACATGATCCATATCTCATCTTGCTTAATCATAATTCGTTACTTGGACATGTTCTTGACCTGGCCACAATTGGCTCAACATAACCAGGAGTCGTATAATTGCACTTCCTCGGGATAAACCCTTGTGCAAGTCATCCTCCTTAAAACATCATAATATCACCCTAGGAAGTTTATTTCCCCCACTTGTGAATCCAAATACAACCACAATATCACATCATGTCAAACACCCATGAAGTCATATCAACAGTTAAGTCACAAATGGCAACATGTATGCAATCATCAACTTAAACAAGGTCCATATCGATTAGGGCAAGTCAATAATATCATACAGCAGTCCAGGGTTTAACATATAACACAAAAGTTCATACACCCCTAATCATGTCATTCTAGTTCACCTAGGTCAATTCTAAGCATCAACATAATTATCGTGATACGACAAACCCGGTATGCCATGCTAATCCCTCACCAGTTCTGGTCGTTCAAACACCGGTTTTAGCCTCCTGTACTACAACTTCACTTTTCTAAAAAAAAACCCGGAATCAAAATCCGAGATTGTC